TGATTTGTTAGGCTGTTAACTTTTGATTATTTCATTTCCTGATGTGAGTTTGTTAAGAAATGAAGTCTCCTCTTCGCATTGTTTTCATGGCAGCCCAGAGTTTATGGCAAGATGTATCTTTATTTTCATTTGTTTCCAGAAACCTTTTCTTTTCTTTTCTTTTCTTTTTGAGTTGGAGTCTCATTCCCTCACCGAGGCTGGAGTGCACTGGCATGCTCATGGCCACTCTAGCGTCGACCTGCTGGGCTCCAGTGATTCTTCTGCCTCAGCCTTCCAAGTAGTGGGAACTAGAGGCATGCACTACCATGCCCAGTTAATTTTTAAAAATTCACTGTAGCGATGAGGTCTTGCCAATTTGCCCGGGCTGGTCTTGAACCTACAGGTTCAGACCATCCACTTGCCTCGGCCTCTCAAAGTGCTGGGATTACAGGCTAAACCACCGAGCCCAGCCTGTTTCCAGAAATCTTTTAATTTCTGCTTTGATTTCCATGTTGACCCAGGAGTTGTTCAGCATCATGCTGTTTAGTGTCCATGTCTTTGTGGGTTTTGGGGGAACTTTGTTGGTGTTACTATTTATTTTTATTTCACTGTGGTCTGAGAATGTTCATGGCAGTATTTCAATCTTATGGAATTTGTTTATGCTTGATTTATGGCCAATGATGTAGTCAATCTTGGCATATGTTCCATGTGTTGTTGAGTAAAATGTATATTACATGATTGTTGGATGGAGTGTTCTATAGGTACCTATTAAGTCCATTTGGTCAAGCATCAAGTTGAGACTCCAGATTTTCTTGTTGATTTTTTGTGTTGATGACCTATCTAGGGTTGTTAGTAGAGTATTTAAGTCCCCAGCTATGATAGTGTTAGAGCCAGTATCTTTTTTTAGTCTACCTAGAAGCTGCTTTATAAAAGCTGGTGCTCCTATGTTGGGTGCATATATATTTAGGATGGATATTTCTTGTTGATAGATTGAACCTTTTATCATTATGTAGTGACCTTCTGTGTCTTTTTAAATTTGTGATAGCTTAAAGAATATTTTGCCTTATATTAAGATCACAACTCCTGCTTTCTTTTGTGTTCCAGTAGCCTGAAAATTTGTTTTCCATCCTCTAATTTTGAATCGCTGTGTGTCCATTCTGGTGTGATGAGTCTCCTAGAGATAGCATATTGTTGCATGATTTTTTTTAATCCAGTTTGCCATTCTATGTCTTTTCAGTGATGCATTTAGTCCATTCACGTTCAGGCTAATTATTGAGATGTGATCATTTGTCCCTGTCTTGAGGTTCTTATAGAATTTGTTGTTGTTTGTTTATTTATTTGCTTGTTGCTTTTCTTTCGATTTGGGAGTTAATATATGTGTGTGTTTTTTATCTTTCTCCTTCATTGTTGAGAAGAGTGTGGTCATTCTTTTTTTTTTCTTTCTTTCTTTCTTCTGTGCTTAATACTTTCTTAAGTGTTTTTTGTAGAGCTGGTCTGGAGGTGGCATAAACTCTCAGGACTGAATGTCTGGGAAGGATTTTAATTCTCCATTGCTAATGAATCTTAACTTAGCTGGGTAGGAAATTCTTGGTTGAAGTTGTTTATCTTTGAGAACTCTGGACTGGATTGGACTCCAGTCTCCTCATACCTGTAGTGTTTCTGTAGATAATACTGCTGCTCTTCTCATTGGCCTTCCGGTAATCTGAAATTTCTCTCTCACTGTCTTTAAGACTTTTTCTTTTATACCTACTTTGTATAAGTGAATTACTATGTGTCTAGGAGTTGATCTTCTCATTTGATGTCTTGCAGTGGTTCTCTGAATGGTCACATCTCTGATGAGAGGAGGGAAGTTTTCATGAATAATTTCACATAATGTTTGTTCCAGGGTGATCTCTGTTCCCCATCTGCCTCAGGAATGCCAATTTATCTTAGGTTTGGCCTCTTGATATAATTACTCATCTCTTGGAGACTTTGTTCCATCTTTTTAAGCTTCTTTTTTATGTTTTTACCAGTTTGAGTTAGTACCATATTTCAGTCCTCAAACTTTGAGATTCTTTCCCCTACTTGATTAATTCTGCTTTCCATGCTTGTCAATGTATTTATTTTTTTTATTGTATTCTTTATTGCCATCATCTCAGTTATCAACTCCTTCATTCTTTCTTCTTGTCTTTCCTCATTTCTACACATTCTCTCTATTAATATCTTTATATCTGGGTTTGTGGTTTGAGATCAGTTGTTCTGGGACCTCTTCATTGTTTGAGTTCTGAAGTTTCTATTCTCAGGTTCTGTCTTCCCAGGTGTCATTATGGGACCTGTGTTCTTCTTTTGGTTCTTTTTCATTTGAGATGGTTTTCCTTCCCCCTTTCCCCCTTTCTTTAATTCCATTGCTCAGTGATAGGCAGGATCACTTTTGCTTCTGTTTGTTCAATTCCCTATTCTTCCTTGTGTAAATCCTCTGGATTTTTTCAATTTTGAGGCCATGCTGTGGATAGGGAGTGGGAGGCTGTGCTTTTTGCAGTTTTGTGATTTGATTAAGGTGTGATGGGGGAATTGTGGTTCAGAAGCTATCTGCAGATCACAGTATCTGCTGACTGGTGTGTGGGCCCCTTGGAACCCACTTCCCTCCACCTTACAATCTGTCTAAGCGGTGGAGGCATATGTATGCCCCCTGAAAGCAATGAGATAAGAACAAGGAAAAAAAAGGAGAAAGGAAGAAAGGAGATGAAAGGAAGACAGAGAGAGAGAAGAAGAAAAACAGGCACACCAACTAATGAACAAACAAAGAAAAACAAAAACAAACATGCAAACAAAATAAAAACCTATATGCAAACAGAAAAATTAAAAATACTAAAACAACAAAACAAATACAAAAACATAAACAAAAACAGAAAAAAAAGCATTCCCTCTGTGGTCATTTCTGGAACTTCAAGTTCCTATCCCTTTTTTTTTTTTTTTTTGAGTTGAAGTCTCACTCTGTCACCCAGACTGGAGTGCAGTGGCCACTCCCGGCCACCGCAGCCTCGACCTGCTGGGCTCTGGCGATCCTTACTCCTCAGCCTTCCAAGTAGCCAGAATTACAGGCATGCGCTACCATGCCTGGCTGATTTTTTGATTTATCATAGAGATGAGGTCTCGCTGCCCAGGCAGGTCTTGAACCCGCGGGCTCAGGCAATCCACTCAACTCAGTCTCCCAAAGGCGCAGGATTATAGGCTGAGCCTCCGAGCCTGGCTTTTTTTTACTTTTTATGGGCAGGTCCTAAGCACCCACTGCTGCTATTGGCTGCTGCTGTGGTAGGGAGCAGGTTCCAGACTCCAGTCCTGTCCTTCTGCTCTCAGTACAGGCTGATCGGGTTGGTTGGTCTCAGTGTGGGTCAGATGCCACATGGACTGCTGGGGGAGGAGGGTGAATCAGATCCTAGTCTAGCATGGGGGTTGGGTGTGTGTCTCTCCATGTCTGTCCCTGAAGTTTCCTCTCTGGACCAGTGATGGTTGATCCCAGAGGGAGGTAGAGTTCACCTCTGGGTCTCAAGTTGGATGCTGAACAGAGTTGAGTAGGCCAATGCAGGTCTCTGTCTGTCCTGGGACAGAGAAAATTGTGGCAGTTGGCATCTCCTCAATGGTGGTGAGGCTCAGCTCCAGATTTCCTCTGCACGCCTTCTCCACAGTTCTGGCTGCCAGCACCCAGTGCGCTGCCACAGGTGGTGGCATGGGCAAGGTGCCGGGTGTCAGGTGCTGAGGAGCAGCCGATCTCTGCTGCCTCCTCCTGAGAGACCCCTGAGAATGCCAGATGATCCTCCATACTGGGGGCTCTGATCTCAGAGCAGTGGTGGGTTGCAACCACCTCCAGAGGGGAGCCCCAGGTGCTTGATCCTGAGTCTCCCTTCAGATGGAGCTTTGCTCACCCACTTGCACACCTTCACACACACACTGTCTTTATGGACACTTGCCCCTGCAGAGACTCTCACACTCCCACCAGTTCCTTTGCCCTCTTGCTGAGAACCCCCACAATTTATAAAAATGTTAATTTGTTTGTTTTGACACGCTTCCTAGAAGTGTGCCATTTTGCCTTGTTCAGTATACCAATCATTTCATGTGTTCTTCCATTGCTGTTGTGCTTAGAGGGTATAACATCCTGCAACCATTTATGTACTAATGTCTCATTTGGGACTATCTTATCCTGTGTCTAATGATATCTGCCTTTTAATTCTTTAGGAAATTAACCTCCCTCTGATTTTTTAGCTATATAGCAAGCATTAGTGTTAGACTTAAAATTTTGATTAATATTATATCCATGTTACAATTTGTACTTTATATAATCAATAATATGACTATAGATTGCAATTCTTTATAACACTATATTTTAAATTAAAATATTATCAAATTATATTATGATTTAAATTATATTTACACATTAAAATGTTATTTATAGTAATTTATATTATATACCATGCTTAAATATAATTTATATTTACATTTTATGTATAATTAACTTACTTATATTTTATTTTAAATTACACTTATACTAACATTATGTTTTATATTTACAGTAATAGTTTATATTATATTTTATATTCTACTAATTTTTATATTGTCACAACTTTACCATTTAAAAAATATCTGTTTCTTTTTTCTTCTTACCTTCTTCCATTGATTTGAGATTTTATTTGTGCTCATTAGTAAAACTTTTCTGTTTTTTTCCTCATAAAATGTTCACTTCTTTTATTAAGATCATTCTTATTTATTTTGCATTTTTCTTCTATTGCTAGATGGTGCTCTCCTATATATTTTCTAACTGTTCTTCCTGGCATACAGACATGCAAATTTTTTTGTTAATTGTGTAACTGGCTATCTAAGTAAAATCTTAATTTTAAAAGTTTTAAATATTTCATGAGATTTTTATATAAAACTTAAATAATTTGCTCTGATGGTGTTTTGCCCTCTCTTTATTTTGAAAAATTTGATTCAAGCCTCACATCTTCAGGACATGGCTTATTAATCTCTTTCTTTTTCTTTTCTCTCAGCATGGAGGAGTGTGAGGCTCTCTGCACGAGACTGGCCATAATGGTCAATGGCAGCTTCAAGTGTCTTGGTTCTCCTCAGCACATCAAAAATAGGTATGCTGAATTTATCTTTTTGCTTAAGTGTTTACTATGACATCAATAGCATGATGCAGCGTTATGACTGGAAATACTTCAGAGGCCATATGTCCCAATTACTTGTTGGCATAAAACAGGAGATGAAGGCCCTGGGACACTAAAGAGTATGTGTAAAATACCGAGCAAGTAAGTTAAAGACCCAGTAACTCCCAAACACAGAGTTCAGTGTTTTCCCTACAATATTTTTGCTTTTGTCTTCTCAGAAGGACATTGTACCCTCATTGTAGCAACATTGGTAGGGGTAAGAATATAATTGCAGTATCAGGAGGAAGATAGGATGAAAAATGTCCTTGTTACCTACACAATACCTTATAACAAGGTTGTACCAATCTATCCCTCATCCACAGTGATTCAGAGTTCCTATCAAGCACTATACTTTTAAAAAGATCTCTATCAATTTAAGAGAGTAAAAGAGGGTTGTTATGGGTGCTTTTCATTTGCATTAAAATTAAACTAAAGATTTTTTTGTGCTCATTAATTCCTTTGATTTCTTCCTAGTTACTTTTCTCATGTCTTTTTTCCATTTATCTATTGGAGACTTCGTGAATTTGTTACCAATCTCTGAACATTTTTATGTCCTAGTATAACTTTTTTAAGAAAACTTATATTGCCCAAATGATTTTCTAATTTCCTTTTAATTTGTAGTTAACCTGTAATTTTTATGTAGAATAATGTATGTTGATAAATCTCTCTTCCTTTATTCAATATTTTTAAGGTTAGAGTTCTCAAGTAAAGGTGTGACAAGTTGTCATATACAAAGTTTAAATATTTTTATTTCATGGAGAAGACAATAGCTAATGCTCTGGACTGACATGGCATATTAAGGAGTGGGCGTCAGCTCCCCAGGGGCTCAGAGTTAGGCACTGCTGGGATGGTCAACCTTCCTGTTACTTGCTGCTTAGGGTCAATCATTTATAGATGCACCTACTGGAAGCACCTCCTGATATGTACTCTCACTTATTAATAAGTATCATCAAAAGAGAAATAATATTTCACACTCTCTAATCTTTATGAATGCCTACATAAAGTTTTATAGCCCATTTCTGATTGCTGGGTGCTTAATGTGAGATTTATGTTTGCTGAAGTTGGCCTGCAGAGCCAGCAGGATGAAGTCTGTGGCAAAGAGCTTTCCCCTAACAAGTGCATCTGGGTACTGGACAATCTCTGCCCACTCCCGAGTTTTGCTTCTGATAATGTGATTTATGGGTTGAAGATGAATTGTTGGTGGATAGGCGCTATAGAACTATATTAAGCAAGAAATGGCTTGTGAGTTATTCACTAAAACATTAACTTAATATAAGTTTTTAAATAATTTGTGAAGTTTGTATTCTCATAGCAAAATACCTATAATAGATATATGACTACGATTTACATTTCTGTAATAGTGTGATAAAGAATAAATGATTAATCATGATGTAAATGGTGGTTGCAACCATACCCAGAAGTCATGAACATCGGTGCCCCTTTCTCTCCCTGTGAAATGGAAGCTTCCTTGCCGTCTCTTTCGATATGCATTCGCTGTGGCTGATGGTCCTTAAGTACTCTTGTCCTGGGCGCATTTCAGCGCACGGAAGATGAGCTCTTGCCTCAGACGTGGTTGTCCCTAACTCAGTGAGGAGAGCACCATCACCTGAGGCAGTCTCGTTACAAGGGCAGAAAAGAGATTACCTCCTGAGTGTCCCAAGGACATTGCCATAGGACATGACCTGGAATCATAACGGATGTTCAGTTTGGACTGAGTATATGAGGAACCCTGAGTGCTGAGTGTTAAGTCACCCACAGGCCTCCAGCAGTAGGTGACCCTGGAGCAGAAATAAAGGACTGGCCCTCATTTTTCCAGCACGCTCATTACACAACCTCTGTGCTCCCATCTCCTCAGCTGTCGTCATAAGCACTAAACCAATGTGAAAGCAATTAGGAGATGGCCTAGCACAAGCCACAGTTTAATGTTTACCGCCATTGTTATTGCATGCCATCTGAGCAGAAGTGCTGGTAACCCCAGTATATCCCACTGGGATTTTACAGGAGCGGGAGGAGTGGGGAGGAAGGCCAGTTAGTGTGGGGGCTTGGACAGTAGTCCCTGTGAGAGAGAACGAGATCCAGAGCTGAACTCATGGAAATGCATGTCCACAGGTGGTCAGCTTGAATGAGAGTGTGCTGAGAACATCAGCATGGTCTGTGCAAGATGGTTGGTGAACCGGATGGGAAGAACCAAAGATGGTCTTGCAATTTAGGACTGAGAGAATTTAAAAAGAGTGAGGAGAGAATGCTGAGGACAGAATACAGGGTGGCGGTGTGGGAAGGGGTCTGACAAAATAACTCAGGAAAAAGCAAGAGTTAGGAAGGCAAGGTCTTGAATTGGGGCTGGGAACTGAATATCAAGATTTCCCACGGAGGGGCAGGAGACTGGGCCCTGTGGCTAGCCACTCCCCTGCAGGGAGAGGTGCAGCAGGAGGTGACTGTGAGAGTCCAGGGGAGTGAAGTCAGGAGAGCACAAGGATTCAGCCACCTTTTAGCTCCTGAATCCCAGTGCTGACCTTGACCTCGCTGACAGTCAGAAGCCCTCACACTTCAGTACGACTCTCAGCAAACTCACCCGTGGCACATCCGAGAGTCTCAGCAGAAGCCCAAGACTCACTCCTGTTGGGGTAGTTCCCTCCTATAAAGCAGTGGTCTTTTAGGTGGGGGAAGAAAATGGAAAAGGGATGTGAGGATGAGAAAGATGAAGAGCCAAGAAATACGAGAGAGATGGAATGAGTGGAGTGCAGGGACAGATAAATAAAATTAGAAAAAATGAAAGGAGAACACAGAGAAACTCTGCCCAAACCAGACTCATCTACCAAACAAGTCCTCATTCGATGATGCAGGCACAGCCCTGAGGGGAATGGGACCTCATATGAGAAACAGTACCCCTGTGGGACCTTGGACCCCATCCTGGGTCCCCTGAATGTGCCCACTCTCCTGAGACTGGGTAGCCGGACCCAGGCACAGGGATCGTCCCTACCTCCAATCTGTGGAGTGGCACTGTCTTTTCTTACCACCCCCCCACCTACATAGTGCCCAGATCTTTTCTTTTCCCTCCTACAGAGCTCATTTGACTTCCTTTCCTGGACCCTAAACCCAGCTCCCATGTGTGTACTCTGTCATCAGGGAAGAGCTCCTCCAAAAATCACTCAATCTCATTCCTATCCTCTCATGTGGCATCCTGCTTCATTCCTGGATCCAACTCCTTCCTAGCCCACTGGTTTAAAATAGAGTTTCATAGAAAAGTGGAGGTACAGCAAGACCAACAGATAAAGAAACGGCTACTGTTCAAAAGATAGTTTGTTATTCAGTTCCCAAGCGTAGGGGCCTGCAATGCAGGGCTGAAGGGGGATGCACCAGAGTCAGCAGGCAGAGGAGCAGAGGAGAGTGGGAGGGAAACACGGGTGCCATGGGAAGGAACAGTGAAGCAAGGAAAATGGGTCTTGGGTTCACTAGCTTAAATATTTTTAGCAGGCCCTGGGGCATAGGACTTGTACCTGGTTGTCTGGTACCTGTCCCTGGGGTGATTAGGTTAGGGTAGTAGATAATGGATAGTGGCCCAGGGTGTGAAAGCCTCATAGAGGAGGTGGTTGTGATGTGACTCTGGATGGCTGCTTTGCATTTGAAAAATGCATTTGTGGGCATGTTATTCACTGTCCTTAGAAACTGGTTAGCTCTGGGAGGGGTGGCCCCTTCAGAGTTAGCAAAGCCTCCTATTTTCAAAGCATCAGAATATAGAAAAGATAAGACTTGGTTAATAAACCCATTCCCCAGGACTCACTGAGGCTGAGCAGAGCCATGTCTGTGAGGCCACCATGTTCTCCCTGCCTGGAGACCACCAAATGTGCTCACTTTGCAGGGGAAGGCAGGGTACTCTGGCTCTGCTGAGGGTCCTGGAGTCCTCTCCCTCTTCCCAGGCATAAAGTTGTGTTTCTTCTGGCCATCTTCTCAATAAATTATTTCAGTGCTATTAACTACGTTGTGAATTTCTAAACACTTTGAGGTTGTAGAGTTATATTAGAAAGGAAGGTTCCCCTGGGCCCCTGATTTACAAATAATATAAAGCTTTGGTGAACAATCTGTTGTGGCTGAAGTCCTCAAAAAGAAAAATAATGCAATAGGTAACTACTTAGTTTGAGTGTGTCCGTGAAAATCAGGTTATGTTCACTCTGATGTTGTTTCTTAACCGAGTCAGAATTTAGAAAAGGAATCAATCAACGTTAGAGATTTTGCTGGCAAAATTGAGGCTGTTTGCTTCTGATGTTTAATATTTCTTTAACAAACATTTATTTAGGCTCAGCAAGGGGATAGAGAAGTTGACCTGATGCAGTCTATACCCAACTTGGTGCTTATTCTTGCAGAGTGAGATGTACATTCCTGGTGATATCACAAGTCCTATCTGGGCCCGCACCCAGAAAAGGTACCAACAGAGGTCCTTAGGCGGAAGAGACCTTTTTGTTGTGAAGAAATAGAGAAGCCTTTTAGAACTGGAAGCACATGTTGAATTTGATTAAAAGGAAATTTAATTTTTTGTTTTACTTGATAATAAATACATCACTATAGAATCAGGATTTGAGACTAAGTATAAGAGGGGCAAACATATCAATGCAAAGTTTAGATTCCAGTGTTTAAATGAAAGAAAACCATCAGGCTAAGTAAAATCAGCATGGCTATTTTAAATATTCCTGAGAAACCCTGAGCTTTGTGGTCCTGAATTGGGTTTCTCCAACTGGGCACTGTTTCATTTGGGGTAAGATAATTCTTGGTTGTGGGAGGACACTGGCAGACGTCTCCTAGGGAGCAAATCATCCTAATTGGGAACCACTGTCTCAACTAGTTCTTGGTTCCATGTCCGCAGGTAGTTTATAGATTGAGGGAACGTCTAGTTACAAGGATAGGGACTTAGACAAATTCCCAAAGGCAGATCAGGCAAT